GCGTGGTTTGAACATAACTCTCCGAAATCATAACTCTCCGAGATAACTATCCGGTTGGTAACTCTCCCTTTAGTCATACCCCTTGCCTAATGCGTAGTCGGCAGGGAGACAAAGGTTGCGACTCTTGCCAACGGGCAATTAGAACTAATCGCCCGCTTTAGCGGGCGATTAGTTAGTAAACGTCCCTGTTGAAACAAAAGAAACCCGGGCAACTATGCTATTATTCAAGAAAGACGGACATTTCATGGCACATATTGATTGTTTCATGCATCGCAAAGAAAATAAAACTACATGCAGTGTTTATGGATTTTAGAATATTGAATTTTTGAAATGACGGCATGGTGTAGCAAAGTTATTCAAACCTTTCATCAAATTTCTGCTTATGTTGCTATTTCGATTCCCAATTTGCCGTCTTACTGCATGAATAAACTCAAATAATATACTTGTGACTAACCAATTAAGGTAATATCGATTGAAATTAACTTTGCAAAACATTAACAGACACTAATTTTATTTCCTGAGCAAAAGAGCAATTCATTTGTTCAAGTGATAATTAAGTCAATTAATCATCTTTTTGGCAATAACAGTGTGAAGTATCAAATCCTAACTTAACCCAATACGTAACCTTAACCCATATATTTAGTAATTTCGTCACAAGTAAACGTGGCTAATAACTGTATAATTATAACTAGGAATTTGTGACAGTATAACCATTAAAATGATAAAATATCATTGCGAATTTTATGCCTCTTTCCGAAAAAATGTTCTTTCAAAATCTATTTAAAATTCCATATAATCTTCCGCTTGAAATTTGGATCTACAAAAATATTTCAAAAAACCCTTCTTGAAACAATAATTTTCGTCTCCTATTCAAACCCTAATAAAATATTTCCATATTACAATAACAACTTCTAAGGCCAGGTGTTCATTACCACGCACGCACCCTATAGCCGATTTAACGCTGTAATCGTCGAGAAACATAAAATATTCGTGGAGATAAAGGGTTTTTTGTATTATCTGGACTTAAAACGGCCTTTCCCAGCATATTTCCAAGTATAATTCGATCATTTCTTTGACAACTGTTTGTCAAAGCTATATATATATATATATATATATATATATATATATATATATATATATATATATATATATATATATATATATATATATATATATATATATATACCTTAGTTGCATTTAGATAAATCCAATATATCCTGCCGGGCGACAAGTAGAAAATTGTTGCCTGTCCCGGCCCCGACCGGCTATACATATACATACATAGATGAAAAAAATGGCGGCACAACTCGAAAGTTTGTAAACTACGATTTTCCAAGATTTTGTTAAAATAAAGATTTAATGTAAAAGAGAAGAAAAATACGCAACAGGCACAATGATATGTTACCGAAACAGTTTAAGTTCTTAACTCATTTATATTATTGAATTTCTGCCATGAAATACAATTGTGGTATGAATGTTGTTCATTTTTCTTTCGTCGCTCAGTAATTAACAGAAAAATTACTGTCTGTTCCCTCGGGAAATAGTATAAGTTTTGTTTCCCCTTGCTCAAACATTAAGACTCTCTGGAAAACAAAATTCACAATTTTTCTCGGGAGCAAAATTAAGTGCATATTATCTCTATAAATTTTGCATGTTTTAATATATTGTTTATATAACGTGGCGAAGCTGTAGCCAATATGCTAATAAACTTGCATCAAAATACTGTAGCTTAAGGTGGCTCGATATAGTTATCACAAAAACCCTGTTCAAGAATCGCGAACTCAAAACCGGTTGACCATTTTTACGCGCAGGTCGCGGAAACTGATTAACAAAATGAAAGAACTTCCAAAATGACCTGACGTGAGCAGTTGCTCGCGCCATCTCACGCCATTGCGCGTGTTCTATAGCGTTTTATGTCAATTGCTGACGTCACTAGAATTTTCCATTTTAGAAAAACAATGCGCTATATCTCTTTATTTTGTCTGGTGACCTATGTTCAAATTTTGCATGCTGTATTGCACCGCTAAAAATTTTCATTATACAAAAAATAAAAAAATTCTGTAATGCCAAAAAAATGTTACCAAAAAATATGACATTTTCGCATTTTCCAAAAAAATGGCATTACAGAAATTTTTTATATTTTGCTAATTGTTAGCTTTTCGTCCAAGTAAAATAATGCACGAAAAAAAATTGGGGGTCATGCCATGCTTTTTTTCCAACTATACGAGACGATAGGCCATTTTGGAGTCAATTTCGTACACGTATGTCGTCATAGCAACGAACTATCTGTTACTAAAACGAATATAATTTGAAAGTAGAGTTATCAAAATATATAAAAAACCCAATATCTGCTGAATAAATCCTAAAAATGCGTAGTTTGAACATGTCAAAGTGTTAAACACCTGAATTTTTGAAAACTGTATCGAGCCACCTTAAAGACAATACATTTCTAAAGTTTGAATAACGCGAATAATTAAAAATCTTCATAGCGTGACCTGTTGCAATGGCTACAGCATCGCCACTATTCACACAATTTTGCCACTCTATACAAACGGGTTTTGAACACACATAAGTTGAGAAGAATTTGGACGATTTCTAGGCTAAGGAAGGAATTGATTATCACACTTTTGCGTGCTAATAATTTGCCAATACAATGAAGAGAATGCGGTTTTATACCCAGGCCTAATTACTTTCCGGATGCGCGCGCGGGTTATATTAACACAGACTTCGACAAATAAATTAACTAGAGATGGGTAGTATATATTGAACAAATAAAGTTAGGCTAATTGTTGTCAGTAAAATTAGCTATAATCCTGGCAAAAACTAATAGAACATATGCAGTATAATTGAAAATTTGATCTATCTCCCCCCCCCCCCTTTCCTCGTTACAATGTTGATTAAGATGAGTAAAAATTGGCTAAATTTAAACTTTTCCATAGAGTGTCCATGTTTGAGCAAGGCGAAACAAAAATTGGCTAAATTTTTATGTCACCCATATACGAAATATATTGGTAAGGGTTATAGCATTAGGGACAAGCTTTCTTTGATAGGGATGCAACTACCTGAAAAATATAAGGAGAATTTCGACCTTCGCTCGAAACGTCGAAATTCTTCTTATATTTTCAGGTGGTTAAATCCCTATCAACCAAAGCTATTTATTATTGTCGCTACCTACACTGGCACAGATAATTCATTAGTATTAGGGTCTACAATATTTCGTGAGTTTCTGACATAATGTAATGTTGTTCTATATTGTTATTATAATTATACAGCGTGTCAAATACTATCTTACTTTGTGTCTATATTAATTTTGAGTGCAATTGAAATAAAATTTGCGATTCGCCTGTATATAACTGTGCTTGTGTGGTTGTACGAAAAATTTATTAAATACACCTAATAATCGAATACAGTTTATTAGTTTCTCCCATAACCTAATAGACGGTCAGAGTAGCCCAGTATCTAAATGAACACGGAGTTTTTAGGATTGCGTAATTGTAATAATGTCAACTAAAGAATATTTTACAACAAATACAGGTTGTTTTTGTATGCCAAGTTAGTCACAAAACATATCCTTTTAGCCATTAAGTTAGCATTTGCATTCTATTTTGAAAAATTAATTACCTGTTCACATTAAGGGTCTGTTTATATGAAGGCGAGTTACCCCGGGCAAGGCGTGTTACTCGGCAACGGCGGTTTCCCGGCCATTATAGAAACTTATAGTAATCCCGGGTGACTGTTTACATGATGCAGCCGAGTAACTCGCCTTGGCGAGTACATGGCAGAAAGAGGCGGGATATCTAGCCTATGCCTAGGCGAGATGAATATATTACATGTAAATACTTTGCCTGGGTAACTCTGCCAATGTATGTGCTTTGCACTTGAAATATAACAGCTCAAAAATACATCGAATGGATAGATAAGTTTTCCTGAATATCTCCGCATTTATTTTTGTATTTTAAATTTAGAGTCTCTGAAATGCCATTTCCTGGACTTTGGGGGAAGTTTTGATAGAATTCTGATGCTCAGAAAACAGACTTATAGTATGCTTGTGTGATGTTACTCTGAGTGTATATCCACACCGGGCAGGCCCGAAAAATATGCCTGGCCACGGCGGGATTCGAATCTACGACCTTTAGAATACTAGCCCAATGCTCTGCTAACTGAGCTACGCGGTCAGGTCGGTTCGAGTATGCGATATTTTGGAACTGAGTCTTGTTCCTTCGATATCAGTGTAATCTAATAATCATGATATTTGCTGCATGTGTTGGTGTAATGTATACTCAGGTGAATAAGATATATATGCTTGTGTGATGTTACTCTGAGTGTATATCCACACCGGGCAGGCCTGGAAATATGCCGAAAAATATCCCACCGTGGCCAGGCATATTTTTCTGGCCTGCCCGGTGTGCATATACACTCAGAGTAACATCACACAAGCATCTTATTCACCTGAGTACATTACACCAACACAGCAAATATGAAGACTTCTAGACCCCGTTTACACTAGAGCGAAAGATTCCGGATTCATCACAAAACCGAAACGTTTTGCCATCGGATTCATACATGAGTTTACACATACTGTACAGCGACGAATCCGGTGGAAAATCATCTCGGTTGTAGGACGTATCCGAAAACCTTATTCCGGGAAAAAAAAGTAGAAACTTTGTATCCGGAAACATTTTAATCCGAGACAATTCTATGTGTAAATGTTTCTAAACGGAAATTTGAATTAATTCGCAACCTTTTTTTCGCCCGCGAAAATACGAGTTTGCGGTTTTACCATAGAACCAACATGGCGAACGTTATTGTTTTGTTGTCTTTGGTTTGTTGTTTAATTCTATTACAAGGAAGTATTGTAAATTTTGTAATGGCCACGGGTATATTTTTAAGAAGGCGAAAGTTGTTGCAGAATGCTATTTTAATTTCTGCAAAACTGGCAAAAGCGAAGACCTCGACGATTTTGGGTAAAACCAGGGAGAACATCTTCTTGGTGGGACAATATGCTAAACGGTGTTTGTCTAGATAGCGATTGGAAAGATAACTTTCGGATGTCGCGTTGTAACTTCGAAAAACTCTGTGATGATCTTCGACCTCTGCTTGAAAGACACACAACAAGAATGAGGAAACCATTGTCAGTAGAAACTCAAGTTGCAGTGACCCTTTACTACCTGGCAGACGAGGGGAGATACAGAAAAATTGCTAATGCTTTTGGCCTATCTAGATCGAGCATATCAATCGCTGTCAGAAAGGTTTGTGCATCAATTACAGAGTATCTTGGCCCAAGATACATAAAACTTCCTGCTAATGAACATGAAGTACAGGACCTGGTCAGTAAATTTTATCAATTCCATGGTTTTCCACAATGCATTGTGGCTGTCGATGGTACGCATGTAGCTATCAAAGAACCGACCGAAAATGCCAGTGATTTCATTAACAGAAAGGGGTATACCTCTATAAATGTACAAGCTGCCTGTGATTACAACTACAGATTCATCGATGTGGTAGTAAAATGGCCTGGCAGCGTGCATGATGCAAGGATCTTCAAAAATTCAACATTGATTGCAAAGCTTAGAGATGGAACAATTCCTTCTTGTCCTAAAGTTATTGTCGAAGGAGAAACTGCTGTGCCCATTAGTATTTTAGGTAATCCAGCTTACCCGTTGATGCCTTATGTTTTGAAGGAATATGCCAATGGAGGCACCACACCAACAGTATTTTGGCTATAAATTATCATCTGCAAGAATAGTGATTGAATGCTCCTTTGGGCGTCTGAAAGGACGATGGGGAGCCCTTAGACGTGCTATGGATATCAAGTTAGATGACCTGCCAAGTGTGATATTTGCATGTTTTGTGCTGCATAATTTTTGCGAACTGCATGGTGAAACAGTTACTGAAGAAAGAGTGCAAGAAGCATGCAGTTATGACAGCCCCCATGTCACTCTCCAGGTTATGGATCCTTAAATGAAGCAGCTGGAAAGAAAGTGAGAATCATTTACTCAAAGTTCTTTGACTAAAATAGCTTTAACTTTTGTTCGTTTGGTTCTAAAGCTATATAACTGTTGTGTTTTTAGGAAATAAACGTACTACAGTGTAGCTGCAAAAGATCTTTACCATGTGTTATAAAATCAGCGAAGGGCGGGTATGTCCATTCATTTGTCTGTTACATCTAGCACTCACAAGTGAAAAATACTCAAAAGCACACAATATTTCATTAATAAAAACAACCTTTATTTCAACACTGTTGATAATTGATATAATTGTGTCATGTAGAACTGCCAACTGAGAGAAAACTAGAATGAAGTTGTAAACATCCAAACATACTAGAATTTCCAGGTCTTGTAAAATGTTTATGGTGTACAAAATTTAATCAATTCTATGCTATGGGTTAAAACAATAGAATTACCATACAAATTAATGGATTACAACCTCCATGGATTTTCACTGCAATTTGCAGTCAGTTCCCTGAATTGTCTGTGTATTCCAAACACTAGGGTAAATCAATTCTCAACTAAATTAAATATAAATAACATTAATATGGCGAATGTCCTCGTATTTGTTTTTGACACTTTACCATTCAATGCCATCAAAATCCTTTTGGGAAGCATATGCCCGTACAAACCCTAAAAGGATTTTGACCTCTTCGTCTGTCCAGGTCAAGTTTTCGCTTCCCTGGCTTTCTTCTCCAAGTTTAGACTTCTTTTTGGGTGGCATATATTTACCTTCTTTAGTTCTTCCAAAGATTTAAAAAAAAATTTCATTCTAATTTCACAATTCACACTTGCTTCGTTGCTTCCAAGAACAATGTAACCACCCTTATCGCCGGAAAATTCCGATTGTGTGTCCGAAAACTCAAATTCGAAAAATCCGAAAACTCAAATTCCAATCAAATACGGAAACTTTTGCGAATCCGAAATTTTTCGCTCTAGTGTAAACGGGGTCTTAGTATGTCGAAATTTACAATTTGCTTACAATGTAGTAGCATTTGCTTACAATTTAGTAGAACTAAAAGGGCGAAGGCTTACTTAATTAAATATATATTGGAGAAGTAGCAGGAAAAATATGGGTAAGATGATCTTAACGCTTTGTCATGGATAATGTAGCCGCTTAAAATGAATCAATTGTCAAAGGTATGCAAGATTTTGAAAAAAGAATGATTATTAGCAAATTACTGTGAGGTCTGCAGCCATCAGCCCCCCCCCCCCTCGTGATTGCTACGGCCCTGAAAAGTAAACCACCCTTAAAAGGAACCCTTCAAAACACTATTAGCACTTCAGAAAGGCTGTCGCTTTTCGTTTTCGGAAGTTGGAGCTATGTCGGCACTGCCGTTTCAGGGCGGGGTCATTTACAGGACTTTCGCCCCGGATTCAGGTTTTGGCACATATGCCATGTTGACCGACATGGTCATTTTACCCTAAAACAGTTATGATTACCTGGGCTAAATGAAACGTATACAAACATCTATACAGGTCCTAGATTACAGACACTAATTTAATTAGTCCTGCGCAAAAGTGCAATTCATTTGTTCAAATGATAATTAAGCCAATTAATCACCTTTTTGGCAATAACTGTGTGAAGTATCTAATTCTAACTTAACCCAATACGTAACCTTAACCCATATATTTCGTAATTTCGTGACATGTAAACGTGGCCAATAACTGTATAATTATAACTAGGAATTTGTGACAGTATAACCATTAAAATTAAATGATAAAATATTATGGAGAATTTTATGCCACTTTCCGAAAAAATGTTCTTTCAAAAATTATTTAAAATTCCATATAATCTTCCGCTTGAAATTAGGATCTACAAAAATATTTCAAAAAATCCTTCTTGAAACAACAATTTTCGTCTCCTATTCAAACCCGAATAAAATATTTCCATATTACAATAACAACTTCTAAGGCCAGGTGTTCATTACCACGCACGCATCCTAATTATAATAACAATAATAGAACAAGTTATATTTTCATGTCAGACACTCACGAAATATTGTAGACCCTAATACTAATGAATTATCTGTGCCAGTGTAGATAGTGACAATAATAAATAGCTTTCGTTGATAGGAATTTAACTACCTGAAAATATAAGAAGAATTTCGACGTTTCGAGCGAAGTTCGAAATTCTCCTTATATATTTTCAGGTAGTTGCATCCCTATCAAAGAAAGCTTGTCCCAAATACTATAACCCTTACCAATATATTTCGTATATAGGTGACATAAAAATTTAGCCAATTTTTGTTTCCCCTAGCTCAAACATTGAGACTCTCTGGAAAAGTTTAAATTTATAGTCAATTTTTACTCATCTTAATCAACATTGTAACGAGGAAAGGGAGGGGAGGATAGACCAAATTGTCAATTATACTGGATATGTTTTATTAGTTTTTGCAAGGATTATAGCTAATTTTACTTACAACAATTAACCTAACTTTTTTTGTTCAATATATACTACCCATCTCTAGTTAATTTATTTGTCGAAGTCTGTGTTATAATATAACCCACTTCCGGAAAGTAATTAGGCCTGGCTATAAAACCTCATTCTCTTGATTGTATTGGCAAATTATTAGCACGCAAAAGTGTGATAATCAATTGGTTCCTTGGACTATAAATCGTGCAAATTCTTCTCAATTTATGTGTGTTCAAAACCCGTTTGTATAGAGTGGCAAAATTGTGCAAATAGTGGCGATCCTAGCCATTGCATCAGGTCATGCTATGAAGATTTTTAGTTATTCGCGTTATTCAAACTTTAGAAATGTATTGTCTTTAAGTTACAGTATTTTGATGCAGGTTTATTAGGAGTTGCCATGGCTACAGCTTCGCCAAGGTGTATAAACAATATATTATAGCATGCAAAATTTATAAAGATAATATACACTGAATTTTGCTGCCGAGGAAAATAGTGAATTTTGTTTTCCATAGAGTCTCAATGTTTGAGCAAGGGGAAACAAAACTTACTATTTCCCAAGGGAACAGACAGTAATTAGTGTTTTGTTAATTGCTGAGCGACGAAAGAAAAATGAACAACATTCATACCACAATTGTATTTCACGACAGAAATTCAATAATATAAACGAGTTAAGAACTTAAACTGTTTCAGTAACATATCATTGTGGCTGTTGTGTATTTTTCTTCTGTTTTCCATTAAATCTTTATTTTAACAAATATTAGGAAAATCGTAGTTTACAAGCTTGCGAGATGTGCCGTCATTTTGTTCATCTATGTATGTATATGTATATGTATAGCCGGTCGGGGCCGGGACAGGCAACAATTTTCCACTTGTCGCCCGGCGGGATACATTGGATTTATCTAAACGCACGTGCATGAACACAATTCAGCCAATCACATTTGGTGTTCAACTTAATTCTATATCAACACAGAATACTCATGCGTTCCAATAAATATTTCAATAAAAATACAGCCATATTTTACGCATGCGTCAGGCGCGAGGGCGCGCCTATATATTATTTGCACTTTTAGTGAAATATCTCAGTTTGAAATTTTACAGCCGTTGAGAATACCGCGACCATTTTCTTGCGAAAATGTTTACGATACAAATTCTGGTGTTCTTCCTGCAGCTTAGTCTTGCCATATCTGAAGAAAACATTTACGTCGATTATGAGAGCAATCCCGATCACCCGTTTCCTGTGATACGTTGGGGTAAGTCTGCTTTACTTCTCTTCATGCTCTTTTGGTAGGTCGTGTCGCGAGTGACAGACATTTTTCAAGATTATTTCGTCCTTGAAGGGGTTTAAGATGAGATACATCGCTTGTAGGACATTTTTATTGGTGACGAGATACAACTAAGTGTTTTCAATATAACAATATACACTTCAATAAGTCTCAGTTTAGTGTTTAATGGGGGGCGGTTAATATTTACAAAGAGTGCATTTCATGCTATGAAGAGTTTTTAGTTATTCGCGTTATTCAAACTTTAGAAATGTATTGTAGTTAAGTTACAGAATTTTGATGCAGGTTTATTAGCAGTTGCCATGGCTACAGCTTCGCCAAGATGTATAAACAATATATTATAGCATGCAAAATTTATAGAGATAATATACACTTAATTTTGCTCCCGAGGAAAATAGACGTGAACTTTGTTTTCCAGAAAGTCTCAATGTTTGAGCTAGGGAAACAAAACTTACTATTTCCCGAGGAAACAGTCCGAACAGACAGTAAGTGTTTTGTTAATTACTGAGCGACGAAAGAAAAATGAACAACATTCATACCACAATTGTATTTCATGACAAAAATTTAATAATAGAAACGAGTTAAGAACTTAAACTGTTTCGGTAACATATCATTGCGCATCATTATCTGCATATCATTGTATTTTTCTTCTCTTTTACATTAAATCTTTATTTTAACAAAAACTTGGAAAATCGTAGTTTACAAGCTTGCGAGTTGTGCCCCCATTTTGTTCATCTAGCTATATATGTATATATTTAAAACTAGAAACTTGAATAAGAAATAACAATTCATGAAAACCATGCAGATTAATATTCTGCATATGACGAATCATTCTTTAATAAATAATATAATATAAGTAAAGACGGACATTTCATGGCGCATATTGATTGTTTCATGCATCGCAAAGAAAATAAGACTACAGTGTTTATGGAATTTACATATTGAATTTTTGAAGTCATGGCATGGTGTAGCAAAGTTATTCAAACCTTTCATCAAGTTTCTGCTTATGTTGCTATATCGATTTACAAATTTGCAGTCCTACTGCATGAATAAACTCAAATAATATACTTGTAACTATAGCCGATTAAGGTCATCTCGATTGAAATTAACTTTGCAAAACATTCACAGACACTAATTTCATTTCCTGAGCAAAAGGGCAATTCATTTGTTGAAGTTATCACTTCAGCCAATTAATCATCTTTTGGGCAATAATTACAGCGTGAAGTATCTAATTCTAACTTAACCCAATACGTAACCTTAACACATATATTTCGTAATTTCGCGACATGTAAACGTGGCCAATAACTGTATAATTATAACTAGGAATTTGTGACAGTATAACCATTAAAATGATAAAATATCATTGTGAATTTTATGCCGCTTTCCGAAAAAATGTTCTTTCAAAATCTATTTAAAATTCCATATAATCTTCAGCTTGAAATTTGGATCTACAAACATATTTCAAAAAAACCTTCTTGAAATAATAATTTTCGTCTCCTATTCAAACCCTAATAAAATATTTCCATATTACAATAACAACTTCTAAGGCCAGGTGTTCATTACCACGTACGCACCCTAATTATAATAACAATATATAGAACAACATGTTATATTTTCATGTCAGAAACTCACGAAATATTGTAGACCCTAATACTAATGAATTATCTGTGCCAGTGTAGGTAGCGACAATAATAAATAGCTTTCGTTGATAAGGATTTAACCACCTGAAAATATAAGAAGAATTTTGACGTTTTCGAGCGAAGGTCGTTTTTCGGAAACTTCGAAATTCTCCTAATATTTTTCAGGTAGTTGCATCCCTATCAAAGAACGCTTGTCCCTAATGCTATAACGCCTTAACAATATATTTCGTATATATGGGTGACATAAAAATTTAGCCAATTTTTGTTTCCCCTAGCTCAAACATTGAGACTCTCTGGAAAAGATTAAATTTAGCCAATTTTTACTCATCTTAATCAACATTGTGACGGGGAAAGGGGAGGGGGGAGATTAGATAAAATTGTCAATTATACTGGATGTTTTATTCGTTATTGCCAGGATTATAGCTAATTTTATATATATACTTGCAACAATTAGCCTAACTTTATTTATTCAATATATTCTACGCGTCTCCAGTTAATTTAATTGTCGACTGGAAGTCTCTGTTATAATATAACCCGCTTCCGGAAAGTAATTAGGCCTGGCTATAAACCTCATTCTCTTGATTGTATTGGCAAATTATTAGCACGCAAAAGTGCTAGTGTGATAATCAATTGGTTTCTTGGACTATAAATCGTCCATATTCTTATCAACTTATGTGTGTTCAAAACCCGTTGCATAGAGTGACCAAATTGTGTAAATAGTGGCGATCCTAGCCATTGCAACAGGTCATGCTATGAAGATTTTTTAGTTATTCGCGTTACTCAAACTTTAGAAATGTATTGTCTTTAAGCTACGGCATTTTGATGCGGGTTTATTAGGAGTTGTCATGGCTACAGCTTCGCCAAGGTGTGTAAACAATATCGATTATAACATGCAAAATTTATAGAGATAATAATTATACACTTAATTTTGCTACCTAGGAAAATAGTGAACTTTGCTTTCCAGAGCTAAGGTGTCAATGTTTGAGCTAGGGGAAACAAAACTTACTATTTTCCAAGGGAACAGGCGGTAAGTGTTTTGTTAATTATTAAGCGACGAAAAAAAAAGAACAACATTCACACCAACAATGGACCATTTGCATTATAGACCAAATTTTGATCTAGACAAAAATTTCATAATAGCTTGAAAGAGCATCACAAAATTAGTAATATTCCAAAGTTTCGTTGCGAAATATTGTAAAATGCGGATAATGTAGCCATGCGAAGTTTGCCGTTTTTCAGTCATTTTGAATTACGCACGGGAAATTGACAGCCCAATCGGGTGTTGGGGCATCAATTTCCCGTTTGTAATACAAAATGACTGAAAATTGCAAATTTCGCAGGGCTATATTATTCGCATTTTACAACATTTCGCAAGGAAACTTTGGAATATTACTAGTTTTGTGATGCTCTTTCAAGCTGTGATGAAATTTTTGTTTAGATCAAAATTTAGTCTATAATGCAAATGGTCCATTGTATTTCATGACAAAAATTCAATAATATAAACGAGTTAAGAACTTAAACTGTTTCGGTAACGTATCATTGTGCATCATCATCTGCATATCATCGTATTTTTCTTCTCTTTTACATTAAATCTTTATTTTAACAAAAACTTGGAAAATGGTATTTTACAAGCTTGCGAGTTGCCCCTCCATTTTGTTCATCTATGTATGTATATATTTAAAACTAGAAACTTGAATAAGAAATAACAATTCATTAAAACCATGCAGATTAATATTCTGCATATGACGAATCATTCTTTAATAAATAATATAATTTAAGTAAAGACGGACATTTCATGGCGCATATTGATTGTTTCATGCATCACAAAGAAAATAAGACTACAGTGTTTATGGAATTTACATATTGAATTTTTGAATTCACGGCATGGTGTAGCAAAGTTATTCAAACCTTTCATCAAGTTTCTGCATATGTTGCTATATCGATTTACAAATTTGCAGCCTTACTGCATGAATAAACTCAAATAATATACTTGTGACTAACCAATTAAGGTCATCTCGATTGAAATTAACTTTCCAAAACATTAACAGATAGCCTACTAATTTCATTTCCTTAGCAAAAGGGCAATTCATTCGTATTTACTGTTCTCAAGTGCATATATGAAACTGTAGCTGGTACCTGCCAACTATATGTAATACGAAGACTGAACATGTGAGTTGCCATATAATGTCGGCTTGATTAAAATTCACTTTGTAAAATGTTAACATTAACAATATTTCCTGAACAAAATGGAAATTTACTTGTTCAAGAAGTCGGCCAAAAAATCACCTGCTGAAAAGTTGTTAAAGACAGCGCATCATGCGAGATTTCAAGACGAAGCCATTTCATAGCCGATTCATATCATGCAGTCACGAAATAGAGTATTCCGCAATCCTAACCGTTTCCCTAACCCCAACCATTAAATTTGGTAACGCTATATTGAAACAGCTTATTTAAACATCTCCGTCTCAATGTTCTTTGTTCCGTCAAAGACGTCTATATATTTCCAAAAACAACTTCCTATATATGGTCAGGTGTTCATTTCCACGCGCGCAGAACTTCATTAACTAATAAGAACGCTATCCCTAATCCCCTCATTTCATTTGGCGAATACCATTTATCAAATAATAATTAGTGCATGAAAAGTTCGACATCTGAATTAATTATATGATTCGAGTTTATAGATTAAATGCGACACGATCACTTTATTCAACGATCCAGACGAATTAAACGACTATGCCGTGCGACGTTGGTCCAATCGTCGAATCTTTCACTTTCCGAATATAATGCATTCGAATATTGCAAAATATTTCCTTTATTACCTTGCATTGCTCTTAATGACACTTTTAGCCCACATGTTTAAGCTATAGTTGCCACGGGTGGAAGTGGATAAGCGGTTTAAAATTGCGAGAAAAGCAAGCACTTGATAATGCATGTATGGTAGAATTACGAGCGATACGTATACAAATAGCATCGCGCCTTTGTTTTCCTTGCTCCTGGCGAAGTAAGGATTTGAATCCATAATCATTCCTTGGAATGGAGTAGATGGAGTTTATCATATACCCTTCGACAATAAGTTTTTATTCGATGTCCGTTTGAAACTTAATCAAAGAGAAACTTAAATATGAAATAGCGGCATAGCGAGAGGAACATGATTGATGTCTTTAAATAATCACAAGTCAGTTGCATTATCGTTGTTCAAGGAAAATGACATTGTTAATAAACATGGTCTCTGTTCGGATCAACACTATCTTTGGCTTGCAAACCTATAAGTTGTCGAAATCTTATGTAGCAGTTCCCTATCACATAGTTTGTGCGAAAAATATTTTTGTAAAGAAATATATGCATTCTTTGGTTTCAGTCACGTGATATTTTGCATAATTTGATTCAAGTGAGTGTCAATCATTGAAATGAATCAATTAACAATAACAACTCGGAAAGAAAATGGCTGTCAAAGCATCTTATGTTAATGAGTTATCCGACTATTATAGCAGCAAATATAAAACAATATACACAACATAAAAGCCGTCTCAGGACCTTTGACACAGACCCCTAACCCCCAAGCACGCCGTATGAAACACGAGAATAAATATATTATTATATTTTAGGTGTACCCAGTTTAAAAACAAACATCGTCGCCCAATTCAGAAAACCAACTTATCAATTTTGCGGCCTTGAATGCGCAGAAAACCGTTTCTGCGTCGCATTCAACTACAAGGAGAAAGCCGTAGGGAATGAATGGAACTGCCAATTGACAAACACAACTCAGCATAAATTTGACAATAACGCCAGCAAGAAAAAGCGAGTTTGGACGTTCATCAAAGATAATGTAGACCGAAGTCAGGTGGTAAGCAATTATCCCCGAACCGAAGGCGCGAAGCGCCGTGCGAGGGTACTAATTCCCCCCGGCTATTTACACCCGGGGAAACAAAAGCATTAGCGAAGTCTAAAGTTTATCAAATATCGCGGGCGTGACCAACGAACTTGGGTCGGCCGTCATCCTCACTGATCTCAAAAATATGGCTGATTGCTTGTGGGAGTGGGATAAGCAAAATTTCAATGTTAAAAGACATATTTTTGGAAAATCGTTTCATATACAACAAGCTTGAAGCAATTTTGTTTGGAGAAATGAGAAGAATTGATTTACTATGGGAAATCGTGAAATATACGGCAAGTTTGCTTTGAATTTTGTTGCTTTAATTTTTTGCCTAAAAACATGAACTGTTTTCCTTTTCAACGAAGCTCTAAGTTTCCTAAATTACCGTTTAATTTGAACAAATTGATTTGAAGACTGAACTAAAATTACCCAACAATTTGTTTAGTGTGTAAAACAGTTTATCGGCAAATGTAGTTTAGTTGAGTGAACATTTCAAAAATTTCACGAGGCGTTTCAAGTTAAATTTTACATTAAATCAAAGCTCACAAAATGCAAAATAATATATCTACAGTGTATATTTCGGAAATTTATTGTTGTATAGTTAAAAGTACGAACATTTCAACTATTTTGCAGTTTTGTACAAAAATATGAAAAAATTAAAAATTTAAGATATCGTGTTGTCATGGCAACACTTGAGCGCAAGCCTGCGTTCAGTGTCGGCCATTTCTGAATACTTCATGTTAATTTAATGTTTGGAAAATATTGGCGAGGGGTTACTGCATGCATGCATGTATTTCTAGTATATACTTTTAAAAACAAAACTTGTCTGGTATTTAATCATTGTCGGTCTCTAAAATGAATACCAGTATACTTGAGAATATGATCATGCAATAAGCTATTTCGCAGGCATCGTGCAGAGGAGAAGTGAATGAATGTCGCAATGGTGGAACAATGATCTGGGATCCAGTTAAACCGTTCAACTGTCTATGTAAGAAGGGATACAGAGGAGAGATCTGCGAAAACGGTAATAATGATGATAGTATGAAGACATACATACACTCTAAAAAGTAAGGTGTGTATTTTCAACACACCATATGGTGTGTATTTTGCCCTGAATATCTGGCGAACAAATTACACACCTTAAGCCGTGCATTTTTACACACCTTCCAAGGTGTGCAAAAGAACACATCTTTTTGCCTGCTACACAGATTGCAAATACACACCTTGCAAAGTGTGCACACACCTTTGTTCAGCTTGGTCTCAGATCACAGATCTAATTGGAATAAAAAATAAATCAAAGAAGCAAGATATCTGACTAATAGTGACTAACTCAGTGACTAATAATTTTTTTTGAGGGGGGAGGGTAAAATGGGGGGCAAAAAATAATTGGGGGGAGGGAGGGCATCTGCCCTCCCCCATTGCCCCCCTAGCGCCGCCACTGTGTGTATTGGTTTCGGTTATTTTTCAAACCCAGTTCAGCCTACATCTGGACTGACACAAGACAATACACATTTAACTACATAGAAGTGATAGAGCATATAATATTACTTACAGATTTTACTTGATTATAATTATCTGAAGTTCAGCTAACACCGAAAAACAAAAATAGCAACAAAAACACGTTCTAGAGCAAAGTGAAATATTCTATTTAACTGAATTCCGGACAAAACCTAAGCAAATCTGCTGGTTTTGCACGAAATTTGACCAATATGCTGGTAATAATTGGAATATAATGAGATTCTTGCAATCTGTCTATTCATTTATGCGGGATTCCCAACATTTTATTAATATTTGCAACAAAACCCAACAAAATCAAGAACTGCAGCATTGCAAGAAATTAGGAAATTTGAATGAAATTGAATGATCTTGAAGCAAATGAGAATAGCAATGCCGTTTATTGTATAATCACGCATATTTAGCAGGAATGGGAAATTATCTTGTTGACAAATCTTTAATATAATACTAATTATACTATATTTTGAAACCAGAATAAAAACGATGACAAAACGGAGATATTTTGCCCGATATCGAAACTACGAAGCATTTATATTTCTCACTGCAAGGTGGCACTGCATTTGCAGTGACAAATTGGCAATTTGAAAATTTGGCATTGCATTTGCAGCGCCAAGTTGAAATTTTGGCACTGCATTTGCAGCGACAAATTGAAAATTTGGCAGTCGCACTGAAATCTTATTTCTCTTCGTTGTTTACTGAACAATGCTTTAATAATATATACTCATTAATAATTAGCCGGCTTAAACCATTGATATGTGGTTTCACCCGGTCTGATGAATTTGTCCACAGTGATTGAGTCTGTGGCATTTAAATTTTAGCTATATCAGGCCAGTTGTTCAAAGCTGGGTTAGCATTAACCCAGGGTTAGCAATAACCCAAACAACAGGCCCCTTCGGGACGACTGGCATTAGGCCACATAAAAAAATTACTTGTTTAGCGTCCCCGCCCGACCTGATAAAAGTCCCCGACCTCCAATTTTTTTTTATTTTTTTTTTAAAATTTGTCCGAGTTTAGTGGAAAAACTCTATAAAAAAGACCGTTTTACTTGAAAAAATGGTGATTTTATTCTTCTGGGAGCTA